ATACATTCCAACATTCTTACATACCAGCAACGTGAGTTTCCTATTAAAGTTCATGAATAGGATAAACATGGCTGTTCTATGGCTATATGATTATATAAATTTATATATATATAAGGTTTAAATTAATTACACTAGGGCAATCTGTTAGACTGTTGTCCTTATCATTAGGAAGTTTCTCCTGTTGCTTGAGTGAAATCTGTTTCTTTGCAATTTCTACACTCAGAAATAATGAAAAACAAATCTATTCCATTTTCTAGGTAATAGCCCTTCAGATATTTGAAGAGAGTTTAGCTTGTTTCTCCCATTCATCTTATGTACTTTGAGCAAAACATGTCTACTCTTTCAACTGTTCTTCACATGACTTTGTTTCCAGAATTTAAGTGCCCATAACTCTTTTTTTCCTTCACAGGAACAAGGCAAGATTGGTGTAGTCTTCAATATTGGCACAGTAGATATCTCTATCAAAGAAGAGAGCACTCCTGTGAATGATGGCAAATACCATGTTGTGCGTTTTACCCGAAATGGTGGTAATGCAACACTTCAGGTGGATGGCTGGCCGGTGAATGAACATTACCCTTCAGGTAAATGTCTAAACACGTTTTCTCATCTTTTAAAATTATTAACCTTAGATTCTAAAATAGGAACTGTAAAATATATTTGGTGAAGAAATAAATTCCATAACTCAGCTTGCAAGAATGAAGAGCTGAATTAGATGTCTTTCAGTTTTTTAAAACAGATGGAGTTATTAGATCATATTCATCACACTGATCAATAATATATTTTCTGTAATGTCCATTGTTAGAGAACAAGAGTGGCACAAATATTGGATGCTAGTAATGAAGAAATCACATACACCTCTGAATATAATCTGATTCTGCAGAGAGTGGGGAAAAATGCAACCTATAATCTACATGCTTTAGAATATTCCTGTAGATTAATGGGCAATCTAAAAAAAACCAGTCAGATGTACATTGTTGTCAAAATTATTTGTCAGTATTAGAATTGCTACTTGTGGCTTTTCTTAATCAGTGGGAATGGGATGTAACCAAGAAAGGAAAGAAGAATTCAGTGCAAAGAATTCAACTCTAATATAAAGCAGACAATCATGAGTATTTGGAACCACAAATATTTATACTGGTTTTTGTATGTCTCCTTACTTCTTCAAACAGTTTCTGTCTAATGCTGTGCCAGAAACTGTTTGAAGCAGTAAGGGTATGTATCAATATATAGAAGTTTGTATCTAAGTGCTACAAATGTAGTTTTCTGTTTCTGTTTTTACTTTGAAAACTCCATAGGTCTGAAATGTGATATCACTAGATTGATGCAATTAGATAGCAATTGTTCAACTAGACTATAATTTTTTTTCAGTTATTTGTAGAATGCCTTACAGCCTTAAGGTGGTTCTAATTGATACATAGCAATGCAAAAACAGCTAAAAGTATCTCACCCGCTCCAGGAGGTGAAGGTATATGTTGGACAGCCTATGGAAACTGTTTTAAAATAACAGACAATAAGATAAAAAATGGTGGGATTAACAAAGAAGATGCAAAATTGGCTGACTGAAGATATATATATATATATTTTTGCCTACTGGAGATGTACTGAGATTCCATATTAATTTTGTTCTCTAACACATTTGTTAATTGATTGAAATAACATAGTTAATTTATTTAAAAAAACTTCATTTATTAGGTACATCTATAAAGAAAGAATGTGAGCAATTAATGAAGTCATATCTTTAGTTCATGAATACATTCTCGTATACAGTAAATGCATTTTTTTGTCACCTCTATGATATGTCATCATGTTTGCAAGCCAAATAAAAGTTAATACAAAGGGATTCCAATTTATGAGATGTCAGTCTATGCTATTTTTGAATTAGCAAAGGTGAGCTAGGAGCTGTGCTGTGGATGTGATTTGCTCTTCCATTGTAAAGTGGAAGAACAGAAAACAGAATACCTTCTTATGGGTTGCACTAAGAATGAATTCAGTATTCCATCTAGCCTTTGAAACGTCCCATTTTCCTTAATCCATCTTTGATATATTCTTTATTATTGACTATCTGTATGCCAGAGGACATTTGTGGATGCTAAGCTAGGCTTTGCAAATTTGGAAAAAGAACAGAGAACAAGGTAATGGTAAGAGACAGTGATGAAGTAGCTTGCAGTTCATTTAGACGAAGAAGGAAAGGAAAGTCAATGTGCTATGTTGTTTCAACTATCATAGCAAAATTGTATTGAATATTAATTCCATTTATGCTCATCTGATGTGTAATAGGTAGGGAATCATCTCAGAATGGTTGCTTCAGTTGAACTCAGTTGAAGTAATTCAGAGTGGGTCCCAACAATTTTTCCCAATATTTTGCTCAGGTGCAACTGTTTTTGCAACTACAACATACTTTAGAATCTAATGAAAGCAATGCTGTGAGAAGAATCCCAATGGATTCTGCAGCTTTCTTATTTGGGGGAAAAATAATTGGCAGATAGTATGGAAATTGTGAACTGTACTGCATGTTGACCTCTTAGGGATGATACAGTCCAACCAAAATTCTACTTTGCTCCCACAGGGACATAATATAATATAACATCCATATCTTCTGCTCTGAGAGCTTAAAGTAAGGTGACCTGTATGTACCATTCTGATAGCTTCTAGATATCCCTTCCTGTAACTGCAAGCAGGACTTGGCTAGCTCTTAAAGCTAATGCACTGTATATAGTCCTCTGAAGTACAAAGATCCATGAATTCAATTCCCAGGAGACGAGCTAAATCCCATAGAATAACCTCTGGCTCCCTACATCTGACAAGTTCCAAACAGGAGGAAACCAGTCATGTAGTACCTATCTCTTGATAGTCATTGCAGGTGAAAACACCACACAGCTTCCTAAATTGACCCTTAATATGGAGCACTTCATTTCTCCTCTTTGATGAAGAGGTCATGAAATCATGATTTGTAACTTCATTGTGATTTTTTTTTAATCTCCATCATCTTAGCTTGTCTACATGATATACAAGCAGTCCATTTGCTCATTCTTCAGAGTAACTAATTGTTGTCATATGGTAGAGGACTTATTTATATTCTACAGCTTCATACTGATGGCTACACAGTAGCACCTCATTTATATCATTGTCTGATGATGGGGGGAGCACCCCAAATATATGGATAATTTCAGATTCAGATGAACAGTGGGGTTTTACAGGGCTATTTTGAACTATACCTTATGAATATACAGAGAGAGTGGACAATCAAGCAAGTTGGATTATCTAAACTGAAATATTGGAGTCTGTTTTAACTATTTCTGGATATTGTCTATATAAAAATGCACTTTAAACTCTAGACATTTCAGAAACTGCTAGTGAATAATAAATAATTAAAAGTATTTTAATTGTTGCTAACTATTAACCTGACCTATAAAGATGCTTCAGTGTTATTTTAAAAGGTGATATTCAGCAGTGCCCCTCTGTTCACAAAGACTCTTTCAGCAAGCAGTAGTTTCTGCCAGGAGAACAGGGAGGGCTGCATTTTTTTTTTTTTTTGTTCTCTTTTCCCCCTCCCTACTGCAGCTCTTTCTGTCCTGAATGCTCTCAACAGTCTTCCAACAGTCTGGAGCCAATGAGAGCGGCGGAGGGAGAAGGGGGAGCCTGCAAATTTCCTTCTTGTCAGTTGTGTTAATGGATCCTGCCATTGTATCAAGGTCAAAAACCTTCAGTGCAGGGAACTCACTGGCTAAACCCAAAGGTACTATAGATGACTTCAGTACTTAAGAGAGTTATAAGACTGATTGGAATTTTATTACATCAATCACTTTCTTCAGATTAAAACCTAAAAACAATGTAGAGGGATATATTACTGAAATGTCATGTCTGGATTTTCTGAAAATAGGATCTGCCCTTATGAAACTGTTTCAATTTGGTGATTGCCTTCCCAGTCTACATGCAACAATTATAAGAAAGTCCCCCAGCTTACACTGAAATGCAGCACTCCTTCAAAGGATATCACACTATTTAACCCCAGGCCATTTGGTCTCTAATCTTATGGAAATGCTAGGATGCAAAAAAACTTGGAATGGGAAAGAAGATCATTGGCCCCAGTCACAGATCTTGAGGCTACTCTTATAGGCCAAAATGCAGAAGTCAGTGTGGGGAAGAGAGCGATGCCTGGGAAATATTAGATTTAATTTTGGGAGTTTTTGAGTAAGATGATGTAATAAACTACATCTTCCTGAACAGCACAATTCCATTATCTCATAGAACCTCCTTTATGTGAATTAGTTTGCCCTGTCATCTAAGCCCAGATGGAGAGTCCAAAGTAAAAGGAAGCAGAAGGCTG